ACATGGCTTTTATATCAGTCTGGCACTGCTATTTGATGTGAAAATCCACAGGGTCTCTCCCTACAGCTACAGTGGTGCCTCCTAGATGATGATAATCCCTTCCACTGAAATAGCTGTTTCGCGAAATCATTGTCTAGCGAAAAGCATTTCCCCATTGGAATGCATTGAAACCTGTTTAATGTGTTCCAATGCAAAAGAATCATCGTTGTCTAGCGAAGATCGGCCATAGGAAAGCTGCTTTGCGAACCGCTGATCAGTTGTTTTAAATCGCTGTCTTGCGAAGCTTAGGTCCTGAAAACACCCATTTTGTGAGCACGGAGGGAGCTGTCAAAATCGTTGTCTAGCGAAAATCGGTTTGCGAAGCAGGGACCAAACATTGTCCAGTGAAATTCCCGCATAGGAATCACTGTTTTGCGAATCGCTATAGCGATCGCAAAAAGCCAATGTCTAGCGAAAAAACTATCATGCGGGGTAACTGTGCAGCGAGGCACCACTGTACTTGCATTTGAGCGTCTGATAGGATTCCATGATTATATCTCACTGGGGGTGCTAAGAGGACATTCCCTCCAAACGGGCTGACTTTTTAGCCAGAGTTCATGTTTAAAATGATTGTTAATACCCAGATGACACACTTCTCATCACCTCAGAACAGTGCTGAGTTGACAAAATAGCATGCTGACTGTGCCACACAACAGGAACACCTCTGCATGCTCAACTGCATATTGAAGCCAGATTCAGGTAATATGCTGCTAGTTTCCCACTAGGCTCAATTTAAGCCGATAAGCAATGATACCTCTGGTTTGTTGTAGAATGATTTCAACGAAAACATCACCAGTGTCTGCTGGCAAACGTCTGTCAGCACACACTTAAATGCACCGGACTAGAACAAAATGGTAATACAAGAAATTGCAGGCATCAGAAGAACTCTGACCCAGTAGAGCCTGTCATGTAGTTATCGCAATTTTTGGGGAAAAATATTTTACATAAAAGAAAAGCACAGAATATAGAGGGGGATAATCGTTGTGTGATACCTGTGAGCCATCGCTCTGCAGGGGTTCAGATATTTTGGGGCTGCCTAGAAATGATGGTTCTCATTTTGGAGCTGTTTCACTCACTACCAAATGGGTTACTTCAAGCTGTCAGGATTTTTCATTTTATTTTGCAACCTCCAGCAAGAATAAAGAATATCTTGCAAAAATGCGACACTTTTATATTAAAAAAAAATACCTTAGGAGAGCTAAAATTGTCACTGCTGTATTTTGGGTTCTTGGAAGGGGGGATTTTTTAGAAATAACCACTTCAAGCCTTCCTATAGTGGAAGTAAATGTATATTAGACAACGGCTCTAGCTACTGTGTGCTGTTTTTATGTACTGTCAAACTGCTTCTGACTTACAGCAACCATATGAATGAGCCCTCTCCAAAATGTCTTGTCCTCAAGTGCTGTGCTCAGCTCCTGCAAACTCAAGGCCATGGTTTCTTTTAGGGAGTTAGTGTATCTCATATTGGGCCTTCCTCTTTTCCTGCTGCCTACCACTTTTCCTAACCTGATTGTCTTTTCCAGAGAACCCTGCCTTCTCCTGATGTGCCCAAAGCAGGATAACCTCAATTCCAACATTTTTGCTGCCAGAGACAGTTCAGGATTGATTTAATCACTTGCTCACCTTTCTGATACTTCACTTTCTGGCACAAAGTTCTCCTCCAGCATCACCGTGTAGTTATGCTTGATGCGTTATCTCCCTCATACAGCAGAATAGTGAACCATTCATTTTCTCACTTATCGGCAACCCTCTTATTATTACTATTATGTGCTGATGTTGCAGTTCTACCTTTCAGTTTTGCTATCTTCTGAAATCTTTAAGTCTTTACTTCTGTCTTCTGTCCAGATGACCAAGGGAGAGTAACAGTTATAGATATTACAGTTAGGACCCCCTATCTATGGGATCAGAATTAGCTGATTCATTTATCCGTGGTCTGAAAATATTTAAAATATTAAAAGAAAAATTCTAGAAATATATATTTCTAAAGATGAAGTTACCAAAACTGGCCACTAGAGAGAGAGAGAGAGACCATGCAGTGTATAGCACTATTAAAATACCATGTGCTATAATCCACATTTTTCAGTACCCATGAGGTGTGTGTGCTTGCAACTGAGTGCCCACAGATACAGGCTCCTACTGTATAGGGTTTTCTAATCTTTTTCCCCTTCTTGCACTGGAGAAGTTTTGATGGATCACATGGAATACATTTCTGGGTGAAAACAGTACCATACGTAGGGCATATTTATAACACCTCTCAGTATTCAGAACTTGCCACCTTAAGAGATAGACTTGAATTGCAACTCTCTCTCCTTTATGAGTTAATGTGGCTTCCTTAGAAATCCGGGTAGAATGTGTTAGGAGAAATTGGTTTGCTCTGTACAGTGAATCATACCATTATGATGCTGTTGACTGTTTGCTTTCTTTATTTGCATAATTTCCTTTAAAATAATTTCTCCTCCCTTAAGTTCCTCCATGAAAACAGATTTTTTCCCCTTCCTAAAGAGGACAAAAATATTGAGCTGAAACTGTTCCATAACACAACAAGAATCAATCACCCCTTATTTAACTTTGCAAATTGTACTTTTTGCCAAGGACATGGATACCCAAATTGTAGCTTTTTCTTTTGGTTATAATTGTTCATATCGTCTGTTATATGAATGCAAATAAGAAGAGACTTCTTTTTGTAAAATTGTGTTTGCAAGAGTCATCAATGGCAAGCAAAAGGCCCCACAGAACTTAGAAGTGTTACATTTACATTTAAAATATTGGCAAATCCATACACCCTTCTTTTACCTTAACTTCCATTCTAAGTAAATACATAAGGTGAACTCTAGTTTTCTACTAAAGTATATTTTGCTTTTAAAATGTATCTCAGATTAAGTGCATTAAACACAATGAGACTTTCTTTATCCACATATGGATCAATTAGGCTAGATTAGCAAAGATTATCTAACTGTGAATAGGGCTATGTTGTAATTGTGCTATTTTTATCACTGTCAAAGCCTGAGCTTCATTCAGCTTTCCCACACCACTTGTGATGTGCTTTGTTGGAAGTGTAATGGCTAATGGCAATATGCTGTAGTGTTTATTTGTGGTAGAAGTTAAGGTATAAGAAAGGTGTATCAATGTGCCCACGTTTTGAGTGAGGAGGGGGTTTTGTGATCTGCATATATTTGCTTTGAGAAGTATGTTGTTGTTGTTGTTTAGTCGTTAAGTCCTGTCCAACTCTTCGTGACCCCATGGACCAGAGCACGCCAGGCCCTCCTATCTTCCACCGCCTCCCAGAGTTGGGTCAAATTCATGTTGGTCGCTTCAATGACCCTGTCCAACCATCTCATCCTCTGTCGTCCCCTTCTCCTCTTGCCTTCACTCTTTCCCAATATCAGGGTCTTTTTCCAAGGAGATTGAGAGGTATGCCTTCAGCCATCTATACTGCTTTATTTTTATTTATTTATTTAGGAAAAGAAGAATTTAATCAGGGGTAAACCCCACTGAGTTCAAGGAGCAGAGTCACAAGCCAACATATTAGTGAATAAGCAAAATATCAGTGAACCGTATGAAAATTAAAGTTAGGAAAGAGAGACAAACTGTTAGTCCTTCAGTTTCTGGGTCATGATTGCCTTTGTCGTCATCATCACTGAATTCTTGTTTCTTGGTTTATGGACCTCTAAATCATAAAGGGTAGACAGAGACCCCCAAGATATCTTAAATGAAGATCCCTTTTAAGCCTTTTGCAGTCCTATCAGTGTTACTAGAAGACTGCTAAGGAATGGCTGGGACTTGCTACTGAAATCAACCTTGCTTCCTTTTGCAGGAAATTCCAGAACCTGAGGGAAGCCGTCCGGAAGGTGCTCTCTTGCACCCAAGCCACCTGAGCATGTGGCGGTGAAGGGACCAAAGGGAGGCCCTTCCCTGAAGACCTCAAAGTCCTAGCCAGCTTTCATGGGTGAATTTTTCCAA